CAAACATTGAAAAACAGTTAAAAATTTCATGCACCAGCGTATGAAAGATGAATTCGAAACCTTGAAAGGTGGATATCTTTCCGTGATTCCCGAGATAATAATTTACCCGTAAAAACCTTTCACGGGGCCGTACGCGTTACCCGCCGGTACGGGAAGGCTGAATTTGAATGGGCAAGGTTGAGCGTGGGCAGGGGGTCACGCTCCTAGACTTCGTGGTTCCCAAGATATTAAGTTACCCGTAAAAAACTTTCACGGGGCCATACGCGTTACCCGCGGATACGGGGAAGCCGAATTTAAATTTGCAGGGTTATACGTGGGTGGGGAACGTCCCCCGAAATTTTCAGCTTCCTAGCTTTTGTGGTCCTCGAGTTGAAAGTTGCGGACAAGGTGCTACGGACACAGACACACATACACACACAGACAACTCCGTGACAATATGCGTTTTGTACTGCTGTTACACGGCACAAAACGCATAAAAAAGGAGTTGTCAGTTGCACAAATGGCAAAAGAGCAAGAGCAACAAAGCGGCATCTGTTCAAATTATCAAATTCCCGTAAATTTTCGGAACCAAAATTTGAAAGTTTGACATTCATAAGCGCTTACGTTTTGGGGTCTTTCGGTTTCCGGTATTCATCGTATTCATCATCACTGTCATCATCGCTGTATGTAGTGGGGAAATTCCGTGCCTCTGCACGATTTGCTGCAACTGTCGCTCGAGACTCCATCAAAATCGGGGTGATTTTTTGGTTTGGAAAACGTGCTGCACGATCGGCTTCAGTGTTCTGACAAGTTATACATTTACATCGGTCACTACATGGTACCTTCGCCTAAAATGGCACAATTTTGAGAGATGCTGAATCAAAAAAAGTACTAATAACTGGCCAGCGCACGGGTTGCCTATGCGAAGATGCGTTTTTTTGCATAGCTCCCGCAGATTTTTGTCGCTAATGGCACTGGCTTTTCTGGCAGATGCTTCTAGCTAAAAAAATTTCAGACTGGCCGCCAAAACTGTCAGGAAACAACCCTTCAAAATCCCAGTCTTCT